TAAGATAAAATACAAGGCTGATGGACAAGTTGAGAGGTTTAAGGCTAGGTTGGTAGCTAAGGGCTACAACCAAAAGGAAGGTTTGGACTATCAAGAAACATTTTCCCCAGTTGTCAAAAATGGTCACAGTAAGGACAGTGCTATCCATTGCAGCAGTAAAAGGTTGGGATATTCAACAAATGGATGTTTATAATGCATTCTTGCAAGGAGATTTAGCTGAAGAAGTATATATGCAATTGCCCCCAAGGTTTCCACCAGGATAATGGAGAAGGAATTCAAGTGTGTAAATTGATTACGTCACAATATGGACCGAAGCAAGCCTCTAGACAATGGAATGTTAAGTTGATTAATGCCTTATTAGCAGCAGGATTTCAACAAAGTCATCTTGATTATTCTCTTATGACTAAGAAGACTCATGCTGGGATAGTTGTGATACTCATATATGTGGATGATCTTCTTGTGACAGGAAGTAGTCCACAACTAATAGAAGAGGCAAAACAAGTCCTGAAGGATAACTTCAAGATTAAAGATTTGGGGAGCTTGAGATTTTTCCTTGGGATTGAATTTTCCAGAAACTCAGAAGGAATTCTGATGCACCAAAGAAAGTATGCTTTAGAATTAATTTCAGATTTGGGATTGGGAGGCTCTAAGCCTGTGGACACACCAATTGAGCAGAACCTGAAGCTTACTACTACTGAATTTGATGACTTAGTTGGGAGTGATTCTGATCCTTTGTTATTAGATGTCAGTGAATATCAAAGGTTGATTGGAAGATTATTATATCTCACTCTCACAAGACCAGATATATCATATGCAGTTCAAAACTTGAGTCAATTCATGCAGGCTCCAAAGACTTCCCACATGAATGCTGCCATCATAATAGTGAAGTATGTCAAGAAATCACCAGGCAATAGGGTGCTGCTATCATCAACATCCACAGGATCATTGCAGGGTTATTGTGATGTAGACTGGGGGTCTTGTGTTAACACCAGGAAGTCCATCACTGGTTACCTAGTGCAGTATGGGAATTCACCAATCTCTTGGAAGTCCAAGAAATAGTCCACTATTTCTAGGAGTTCAGCTGAGGCAGAGTATAGGAGTCTTGCCTCAACTGTTGCAGAAATCACCTGGATTATTGGCTTGTTTGAGACACTAGACATGCCCTTGAGCTTACCTGTTCCTATTCACTGCAATAGCAAAGCAACAATTCAAATTGCTGCTAATCTTATGTTCCATGAAAGAACAAAACACATTGACATTGATTGTCATTTTATTAGGGAATAGGCTTTGAAGGGATTTGTGATCATGCACTACTTATGTTCTTCTGAACAGCCTGCTGACATTTTTACTAAAGGGTTGGGTAAATATCAGCATTCATATCTCATGTCCAAGCTGGGAATGAAGAACATATTCATATCACCCAGCTTGAAGGGGGCCATTGGAGAATACAACAAGGAAATTGCAAAGTGCTGAATGTAAATGTTAGTCACTGTTAGTTCACTGTTAATTAGTCCAGCTGTCACTGTTAGTTAGTTAAGTCTTCTGTTAGTCAGTTATAGATTCTGTTACAAGATATTTTCATTTATGTAAGTCGGTTAGTAGTCAGATGTATATAAGGCATGATACAGATGAATTGTAGTGTAATTTTTTCAGTGTACTCTGCATTGTATTCATTTAACTGTGTAGTTTCTCTGAGAAGCTTTAATGGAGATTCAAGCTTTTCCTTAATTCTTCTTGGTTCATATACATTCAATGATCAGTTTTAACGTCATCGGACTTGATGCTGTTACAAGCTCCGATGATCTCTGGCAGCATAAGTAGCTCATATTCCTTTTATATCTTATAATTTCATAAGCGTGTCAAGCTTAAATGCTTGTGCACCACTACAAAACGTTCCATCGATCATCGATTGCCAATTTCCAAAGCAGCCTCATAAAACAGCCTGCTATTCCTAAGGTCTTGCAGACAGACTAAAACTGAACCTACTCGATATAAAAGACGAGAAAACAGGGAAAAAAAATTTGGGGAATGGTTTAAAAGATGAATTCAAATAATTTTCTGTGGCAGACAAACATTTTCTTTCTTGTAAACAGCGCGAATAAATAAGTATCATCAAAGTGACAAAAATAATAATAAAGAACAAAAAGAATGATAATCTCTAAAACATTACTAACAAGAAATGGCACATCTTTTATTCTGTATCAAATAGCATATACATGATATCAAATACATCATATCAAATCAAGATTTTCTGATCTCTTAGTCAGAAATATCGTAATGCTTCTGTAAAGATTATGAATCTGAAAATAGCACATACATGATATCAAATCGAGTTTCTGATCTTTTAGTCAGAAATATCGTAATGTTTCTGTAAATGAAACTAAAAATTAGTATCGTCAACAGTTATTAGAACGAATAGGTCGTTTTGCTTTTTCAGCTGCTCTTCTTATTCTTTCTTCTCGTTCTTCTTTTTCTTTTTCAACAACTCTTCTTCTTTTTCTTTCTTCTTCCTCTTTGTTGTCGCCAATTTTATCTTCGTTTTGGCATTTTATTTTTGGGATAATACATATATTTGACCTTAAACTTGGCTTCAAATTTTAACTTTGACCTCCAACTTTCATAGTGCACAAATAGACACTTAAACATGTATAAAGTAGAACAAGTAAACACACGAGTCCTACATGGCACAATACACATAAGACACCACGTAGGACAAAAAATGACATGTAGGATGCCATGTACGTCATGTGTGTCTATTTGTTCAACTTTATACAAGTTTAAGTGTCTATTTGTGCACTATGAAAGTTGGAGGTCAAAGTTAAAATTTGAAGCCAAGTTTAAGGTCAAATATATGTATTATCCCTTTATTTTTTGTCCTCTATTTCCATCCAATTCTTCCATTTTTTCATCAGATTCTTGAATTATATGCTCTGTTTCTTCATTTTTATTCTGTCCATCAATCTCCATTTCCCCTTCTTCTACTTCGTTTTCAGGAACTGCGCTTCTCCTTCTCTTTTTGCAAAGAGAATCAAAACAGAAAGATGAAATGAGTAGAGATTTTACCCTTTTTTTCTCAATATGAAGTGACTGAAAAAGATGGTTAGCCGCTGTTTATGTAACAAAAAAAATGGTTTTAACTTCCCCTGCTATTTATATTTTGTAGTTATAGACACTTAAATTTTACCCTATTATTCAAAATTACTTTTTCTCTATATCTAATGGGATAATACAGATATGAATACCGGCTACCAAATAAAAAAACCCCAGATAATACATATATTTGACCTTAAACTTGGCTTCAAATTTTAACTTTGACCTCCAACTTTCATAGTGCACAAATAGACACTTAAACTTGTATAAAGTTGAACAAATAGACACACATGACCTACATGGCATCCTACATGTCATTTTTTGTCCTACGTGGTGTCCTACGTGTATTGTGCCATGTAGGACTCGTGTGTTTACTTGTTCTACTTTATACAAGTTTAAGTGTCTATTTGTGCACTATGAAAGTTGGAGGTCAAAGTTAAAATTTGAAGCCAAGTTTAAGGTCAAATATATGTATTATCTGGGGTTTTTTTATTTGGTAGCCGGTATTCATATTGGAGATCGATTTAATTTGGATTCGAACTTTGAAAATCCCATTTTGAATCGGAATTCGACCTGACCTTGACCCTGAATATTTTTTCATTATATTTAGATTTTAACATATTATTTCGAGTTTGAAATTTAGAATTTTAAATGGTCCAATAAATGTTAAGTCCATAAATGTTAGTAACTCTAATAAAACTCAAACCAAAATAAAATTAATATTAATGCAAAAATACTAAATCAGTCAATATTATGAATGACAAATTGACAATAATGTTAGCTTCCATGGTCATTTTCAACTATTCATGTATAGCAAACGGAAATAAGAGATTAGGGGCTATTCCTCCATTGAAGTAAATCCTTTACTGTTATCCTATTTCTTTCTCTGCATATATATAAGGGTCAAGTTGAGTAACATCTCACACCTTGCGTCTTCTCTTCCGTCAGCTATGCAATACTTCTCTTATTGTATATGATTGAAGTTCAAAACTACTCAGTTCTTGCACATTTCATCCAATCAAGGCATTCTTCAGCTGAACCACAATGGTGTGTGAGCTGCCACGATCCAACAATTTTTGTTGTTGTATAAGAAAATTAAACTATGAGCAGCATCTCACACCTTGCGTCTATAATACAAACTTTGTTACTTGCTCAAAAACAAAACATGATCAAGTGTTTCCAACTACTGGATTTAGACCAGAGAAACCATCACATAGGGGAATGTTCAAAACTTCTTCCTGTTAGGTTTTCCATATATCTAGCTAGCTCCAAGCAATTAAATCCATATTTCCATCACCAAAGGCAAACAAGGCCATCCCTTACTTCGACTAGAGAACACTGAATGAACTAGGCTTGTTGGATATTTGGTCCGTATGAAGAATACAACAATATACACATTTTCTTTGTAGGGGAGCATCTCAACGAGCACACGTACATCTAATGATTTCTCAAAAATAAAGAAGATGTGGATGACAATAAAAATTACCTATCACATCCATCAAGAATTGATGGCTCAAAATCACAAGGAAGACTAAATACTACCCAAAATAGCTTCAAGTCAGCAAATATATATAAGTCATTGCTTTGATTGGTTGATCGCCGGACATCATAAGATCAATCTAATTAAATAAATTATGACAATATCCATCGATGATCTAATTGTCACGCAATAATACCAATTCATCTCCAAGTACGAAAAAGAAGTTCAAGACTAGTCAATTGACTATAATATGAAGGAATAATCAAGACTCAACTTGATATATTCTAGGTGTTTTAATGATCTTCACAAATGCAGGGATCTGGTCTCCGATAGAATGCTCTCGTCCAGATTCAAAATGGTGTACAACTGTAAAGCTGTCTCGTCAGGTTGGTTGGTGAAAAGTGCAGTGTACTTCACCAATAGGAAGGGTGGATAAGATTGTTTGTTTCAGTGGTCAAAACACAAGTTGGTGATTGATTTATACAACAATAAACAAACAACATTATCATATTATATTAAAAGTGGAAAGGTTTTTAGTTCAAAGTTGAATTACGAAAATGCCCTTCACTAATTTTTAAAATTAAAAATGTCTTTTACAAACTTAAATTAAATAAAATAATGATAGCTCAACAGTTTTCTATCTTTTATTGAGCTTTTAATTATTTATCCTTTTAGTTTTTGCCGTTAAACTCATTCCAATAACACTTAATGTTTTAAACTAAATTCAATATAATTAAGATTGAAGATGAACAATCACAATCTCCTTAAATACAATCCAAAAACGTTTTTAATCATAATTTTCTTAGTTATTGTTGATCAATGTTTATATAATTTTCTGCCACAACCTTTTCCTATTCTTTACATTACAAAACTCTATAAAGGTACATAATAAGTCTTCCTTTTCCCATCTTTCCATCTCTTCATTCTGCCAGATTTTTTTTCCAGGTATATCCATTGTTTTTTTATACGTATTTGTGGTTTAAGCCTCATCTTAGTATGTTTAATTAGTGGTATGTTGCTTGATATGGAAAAAAAATGATTATCTTTAATTCAAAACTATTTATACCAACTTCTTAAGTTATCTTTTGGTTCATATAATTATAGAAACAAAGATCAGATAGAGTTTGGTCAAAAATTATATATGCATGGACAATGAGATATTAGAAAACATTGACAACTAAGATTAATGTTCATCGATTTTTTTCTTTTTTTTTCTATTTAAAAAAGATAGTACTATATATGAAAAACAAAGAATGCAATATATATATAATTGTTAGTTATATATGCCAATTAAATATTTAAACAATGATTATTTTATAACAAATAAATACTTTTATTTTGTAGGTGCAAACTATGAAATTGATAATAATCTACTAGCCATCATAAGGAAGACATATGATGATCGAATTTCTCTACAACTATTGCAAAACACTACTCTCCTTCGACGACAAGTTCTCGAAATGTATGCATCTATAAAAAAGTGGAGGGT